ATTTCCTTTAGGAACAAAGGACAAAAGGCATTCTGAAATTGACAAGCATTGGTGGCCAGCAGACCTACCCAAAAAGAATGGCTGGAAAGTTCTTGAAACAGAGAGGAAATGATAAAAGAAAGAACCTCAATAAAATAAATGGTATCAAGAAAGAAAGAACAGTGGAAACAAAAGTAGGGTCAATACAATAAATTTTTCTTCTCCGGTTTTCTAAATTATATTTGGCAATTGAAACAACATTTGAAACATTGTTTGGTGTGGTTCTCCAATGTGTACAGAAGAAATATTTAAGACAAGGAAGGAGATAAGGTTTCTGTACTTCACTCAAACTGGTAAAATGATAATACCAGTAGATTGTGATAAGTTATATATAATGTAGCATCTGGAAAAACAATTGAAAATCTGTACAAAGAGATGAATTCAAAAACACTGAAGGTAAATAAAAATATAATTCTATTTTTATTTATTATAATTCTGTTCCATTCTTGTGGTTGCCAGAGGTGGGGGATGGGAGGGTAGGAGAAATAGGTGGTCTTTGGTTTTTTAGTTTAAATAGAGTGAGTTTAAATATATATAAATATATATACACATATATACATACACACATATATATAATTCTAAAATATTTCAGAGATGGTCAAAATTATGAGAAATTTATTATGGCTGAGGTTTAAGGATAGACCCACTGAGGTGAAGACGGAGATCTGATTGAGGCCAGACCCTGAAGAGCTTCAAAAAGCCATGTTTAACAGAAGACTCGTTCCTGGTGCTATAGCAAAGCAGACAAAACCTTTTATATAGGACCAACAGTCCTATCAGTTTTGTGTTTTGGAAGATAGTTTCAGCAACAGAGAACCTCCTCGTGCCATCTTTTACCATCTTCACTTCGCATAATGTGAAATTTAGACCAATTAATATCAATGAAGATGCTATCAAAAAAGGACTAAAGTTGCCAGAGCACTAATCACACCTTGAAAATCGAGCATTTGGAAATCAATACCGAGTGTTGAGTGAGAAGGTGCTGTCATGCCTTCTAAAATATCATCATCTGGCCAGTATGAGTGGGGTGGCCACAGGCAGTGAGGCTCCTGCTGGGCATCACGGCTGCCCACACAGTGCCAACCAGGCAGAGAGCCTGCCTCCACGTTACTGGTGAGCTGAAAGCTTGTGGAAAACTTCGGGTATTTATCCATGCCTCACAATGCACTTGGCAGGCATGAGCACGCTTGACTGTGAGATCCAGGATTTGTCATTTAGGTTCCAGATCTTTTCCTTTACTATCTGTATTCAGACTTCGCCCAGGCCAGATTCTGAAAGGAATGTGTCACTGAAGCCAAAGGAGGGGACACAGCAAGCAGGTCATGGAGAATAAACCCAAGACTCTGCCAAAGGTGTATTTGGTCTTGACCACTCACGAAACCAGCAAGGCATTGCATGAAGTCAAAATACAAAAAAGTAAATAAACCATCCAAGAGAGAACTGTGCTTAATTATAGCAGATGAAATTTATAGCACATTTAAAGAAATATTCTCTGAAAGGAAGAAGTGTAAAAATTGGAAGATCACAAGAGGTGCTGAAGTCCCCTTAAATTCTTTGTTGGAGAAGAGAGATTATAACCCTTCTAAAAGGTTAAATCCTTTGTTTTAAAAAACTCATTAACCCACTGATAGATTTTCTCTATTGATTTTTTCATTCAGCAATCACATGTAAGGTAAATGCCCGTTACATCCCAGGCACGGTGCTAAGTTTGATGACAGACTTTCATTCCATTATCTCATTAATGTTGTCACATCTGCAAATTCCATGCCACCATGTTCCTAAAATGGCACGGGATCCAAAAACTCTCCCAAAAGTTGTCTAAGACTGTGTCATCATCTCAACTAATCTGTGTTACCGTTTTAGGAAAAAGTTAATTTTTAACTAAGTGAATATTTTTTTCGTATCTTCGAAATGTTTCCATAAACATGACAACAAGTTGGCACGCTAATGTGCTCAGTCTGCGACTGGAAATATATTGAGTCTAAAGTCTTCTTTCCAGAGGGTCTTTCTGATATGTCTTTTTCCATCTTCTTGATTTCCATGACTCCTCGGAGCCCTCCTGGTTTAACCGATCTCATCCTTCTGTTAGTACTAGTCTGTAGTGATGACCATCCTGGGCTTCCTGGCCTCTCCTGCCACTCTCCCCTCCCTGCTGCAGAGGCTCACAGAGGCAGAGCAGCTGCCCGCATTCATGGCAACAACATGCTCTACGCCGAGGCCAGAATGACTTGTTGTACCCCAAAGACCAGCCTTGAGACAAGTTACCAGGGCAGCCTTCGTGGAGGTTGGGATAGTTATCTCGATCCCACGACTGGAGCCACTACAGTCTTACCAGGCCCCCATCCTTGACATGGATTGTTTCTAGTGACATATTCTCTACCCAGACCATTGAAACACAAATATATTCAACCCTGCCCCCAGAAGCATGGTAAGCCTCGCGGCCCTTACAACCAAAACACGAAGAAAAACCTAAAATTCTTGGCTCTCTCAACTGTTTTAAAAACAAATAATAGTTATGCCTGTAAAATTGTCATTTTAAGTGAATTTCCTAATTTAAGGAAGGAAAACATAAAAGTATAAGGCTTTTCTGCCAATCTAATTCAGATCAAAGATTCTCTCTCCTTGGGCTAGTATGTCTCATTACTAGAAGACAGCAGTCATAAAAGGAAGACAGCATGGTAACTGTTTAATGGACATTTTCTCAGAAATTAAAGTGCTGCTTTTCAAAAGACAGTCAATCATTTTGTGGTGCAAGCCCCAGGGAACTGCACACACATTGCTGTTTCTGCTGCACACATATAATGCCCAGGTACACACGGCACCAGCATCACATGTCCTTTGTTGTTTGAATTAAAGCAAGTAGAATGTACTGCTCAGTGATCAAAGCCTTTGACCATCATATAAAATCCATCAAAATACTCTTTGTTCATCATCATTTCCCTGTCTTCAGCAAATGTCATTCCAGAATATGGCAGGGAGACATATCTGTTTTCCTCCACCATGCATTGCTTTGCTTTTGGGGGGTTTAGGGTTTGGGGATCATTTGGGGGGTATGGTTTGGTTGTTTGGAGTTTTTACCCCCAGTGTTTTCCCCAAAACTGAAAACTGCCAAACTTATGGATCTCAGATGTTTGGTCAGAATCTAATAGTCTTTTTTTTTTTTTTTATGACGCCATTGATAGTAGCCATCTCTACTCAGCCAACAGGAAAAATGGATTTTAGTTCATAAAGGAAAAAAGAAATATTATAGCCCTTCAGTGGTTAACTTTCCCTTCCCCACCTCTGTCTAAAGATCCAGCATTCCTCACTCAACACCAGACACAAATGGTAGTCTGGTAAAGAAATCACTACTGGGATGCCTGGGTGGCTCAGTCGTTAAGCTTCTGCCTTTGGCTCAGGTCATGATCCCAGGGTCCTGGGATCGAGTATCACATCAGGCTCCTTGCTCAGTGAGGAGCCTGCTTCTCTCTCTCCCTCTGCTGCTCCCCCTGCTTGTGCTCTCTCTCTCTCTCTCTCTCTCTCTCTGACAAATAAATAAATAAAAATCTTTAAAAAAAAAAAAAAAGAAATCACTACAGCTCAGGCAAGGCATAAATGTGCTAATGTTGTGTGATGTTGAAGAATTTTGTCAGACAGTAGGTATGGACCATGACATTGGTGGAAGAGATGAGAACCACCAGGGAAGGCTATGCTCCAGCTCCATTTTTCTCTAACCCTGTAGTTCAAAATGATTCTTCCAATTTCAGATATATATCCTGCAAGATAGTTTCTTGTCTTGTCATTCTTCTAGGGGAAGCAAGGCTCCAATGAATATTAACCCCCCTCCCTGTCCCCACACTGAGGATTTATGAGAATCTGTCCTTAGGCAAAACACTTGTCAGAGATTTAAGGGGTAGGTGAAAGGGTCATTCACCTTGTCCAGACTGCTTTACACTTAAAGCCATAAACCCTGACAGGCTCCCCCCGCCCCTGGCCTTCACTCATGTCCAGTCCTGATGAAGCAGTAGTCACAGTTTCAAGTGGCAAGCAGATATTTGCTGACTCAACATTAAAAAGTGATCACTGCGTTTTCTGGGTTCAGAATTTGACCTCAAAAGAACAGATTCATGCATGTTGCAATGCAGTTAATAAAGGACTCTGAAGATACTGGGTATTATGTGAGTACCGAAAATTTCTTTTTGGGTTGTTATATTTCATCTGAATTTTTGTGGTTAATTAATTACCATTAGAAAGTCAATTTTTCCTGTTGTCTGCGCGGGGGTTAAATTTTAAAGTCTGGAATATATAAAAATGTGGAAAGGATGGATCTTCAGTTCTTTAATAAAGAGCTCAAGGGAAAATTACTGTTTATACAGCAAGCCAGCTCCTGCAAACACTATACCCACTCAACTCCATGGGCAGGAAGAGGTAGGAAGCAGGACTGTAACTTTGATGATAACCGCAGGCTCCAGAACCTTCCAGCAGGCCATGAAAGCACGGAGCAGAATGCTGTGCCCTTCCTCACAGCCCACTTCCTAAAATAAAGCAAACAGACATTTTCAGTCTTCCAAAATATTTCAAGCATTTTGGATTTACTTCCTTGCTTCTGGTAGCTGATCAGATTAGGGGGTGCATTTGCAAAGCCGTTCCCAGAAACAGTCATTCTGAAATGACACCACCCTCCCTTCTAAAATGCCCACCAAGTCACGAGTGCCCGACTACCAAGGGGCACCAACTTTCATTCCCAATTTTATTTACATACATAATGGTTTTTTTTTGTTGTTGTTTTTTTAACCATCAGGATGCCTTTGACCGGATGATTGCTCTTCAGGTTCCAGGTGAAGGTTGAGAGCCGGGCAGCCCCCCGGGGTTGGGGGGCTCCTTGTCCCCTCCGGTCGAATGACAGCTTGCTCAGGGGTGTTTTGTGTTTGCTCACTTGGCTTTCCTTCCCTCTTGTTCCCGGGGGCCTGGTGGGCTGGCAGCGCCGTGGTCCAGCAGGCCAACTGCAGAGCCTCCGTGCCTTCCAGCAAGGGCAGCGGCAGCAGCAGCAGCGGGAGCGGCAGCAGCTCGTCCAGTGACTCAGAGAGCAGCTCTGGCTCCGACTCGGAGACGGAGAGCAGCTCCAGCGAGAGTGAGGGCAGCAAGCCTCCCCACTACTCCAGCCCCGAGGTAAGGGCCCCTCCCTCCCAGCCGCGCTTCTCTCCCAAGCGTGGGCACAGTAAATACCGGCAGTCGGCCGGCCCACTCTCACACCTGTCCCCTCCCCACTGCGATCGGACAGTGGGACTGGCCTGGAGGCCACCACCGCCTGGCAGCCTGCCAGGGTTTGTTTGGACTCATCATTTTCCCCACTCTGCCCCCTCCCTCCTCGCACTTCTCCTAACAGAGTTCCCTTTGAAGTACAGAAACTTCATCTTTCATTGTCCAAAAATCTCTGTGTTAACTTCCAGAAATTTCCAAGTATGCTGTACACATCACCGCCTGGAAAGAACCTCTGGGTCAGGTCTCCCTAAGGGTTAGCCGGAGGCAATAACTAGACAGGGCAGTTCAGCGCCTGGGAAAGTGTGGCCACCCATAAATCAGGTCTATAGATTAGACATGGTTAGAATCCTACCTTTTTGCAGTTTGTCACGGATTAGAAGAACAAGGGCTATAAATATTAATAAAACCTTTTTAACTGTGTTTTCTTTGTGAAAATAGAAAGAAAAATTAGCATCAACCTACAAATAATAATGAAACCTTTTATAACTATGATGAGTATCTATCTAAGATTTAGGCGCCCCATATAAAAGCATTATAAGGTACCAATAAAAACCACTGCTATTTCTACTTTAAAGGGGAAAGGGGGAAATTAAATAGTAATTCAGCGCATGGAGATTCTTGGGAGAGGGTGGAAAGCAAACTTCTCAAGTCCCTGGAGCTGTAAGGGTAGACTTTGATTGCTAAAGAGGGCATAAAATACCGTTTCTTCTTGGGCATATAAACATTTGACATTACCACGGATGACATTTTTGGCCTACGGCCCACTGTACCACTTTGGGGCCAAATTTTCTAAATAGGTTCTGAAATAAAACCAAAGCCACTTTTTGCAAGCCGTGGCAGTGAGAGGGGAGCAGAGCACCAGTAAAGGGCCTACACAATCACGTTTCCAGCTTGATACTTGTGCCTCAGGACATCATCACAGCCGAAAGCAATTGTGTTTTTATTTTTTTTTTAAAGATTTTATTTATTTATTTGACAGAGAGAGAGGGAACGCAAGCAGGGGGAGTGGGAGAGGGAGAAGCGGGCTTCCTGCCAAACGGGGAGCCTGATGCAGGGCTTGATCCCAGAACCCTGGGATCATGACCTGAGCGGAAGGCAGACGCTTAACGACTGAGCCACCCAGGTGCCCCGCAATTGTGTTTTTATCTGCAGTTCGTAGACCGGCTCTTAAATTCCCTCAGGTTTTTCCCCTTCCGGTCTCCTCCCAGGAGGCTGAGGCCTTTTGCAGAAAGCACTGAGAATTTCCCCACACTGTTCACTCCTTCTTCAGCACCTTTCTGCTCTGCACAGGGAGCTCTCCATTCATCCCAAAACCAGCCATCTCTTCATCTCTCTTCCATTTTTTTCTCCTTTCCATAATGCTCACATCCTCCCCCCAACCCCTCTTTATATTTCTCTCTTTGTCTACCAATATAAGGGGAAGGCCCTTAGCAACATTAACCTGTAAGTTGATACAACCCTGACTTTCCAAGAAATTAAATTATTATTCCTTCTTCATAATTTCATTCATTCACTCATTTAGTGTTCATTCAACAAATAGTTACCGAGCATCTGCCACAGACTTGCTGCTTGGCCTTGGAAGACAGCAGTTATCTGACAGAAAAGCTCCCTGTCTTCAGAGAACTGACATTCTAATAGGAAGAATTTGAAACAAAAAAAAATATATATATAGGTGTTAAACAGGATTCATTGAAGCCAGCTGTATGCTATAATTTGTTGAGAAACTCCAGAATATTTAGTTATAAGAACCGGGTACCAGAGACATCGCAAGAGCCAGTGGAGATGCATAGAAAGTATTAGGTGTCCATGAATAACCCTTCCCCTCCTCCAGTCTCTTTGTGACTTTGAAGGTTAAATTCATGAATGTTGAGTCTTATTTTCATGTTGAAATGTAAATCCTGGAGCTACTGGCTAAACCTAGTCCCAGAGAAGTACAGTTAAAAAGTGCTTGAAGCACATTCTTTATAAATGTCACTGGGATAATTACAAAGACTTGAACTCCTTGGTGATGAAGCTCTTTGTTGAGCGAGCTTCCAGCCGCTCTCAGAGGCCAAGGAGAGGGAGTGCAAGTCTAGTAAAGCGGCCTGAAAAGTTTAAGTTGCCTGGAGCCACAGAGTTTTCGATTCTTGCTTCTCTATGCGGAGGGAATGCAGAAGTGACAAGCGATGTATTAGCCATGCCGCATGGTACTTCCTTCCACTGGAATGGAATGGATCAGGTTACTTTTAACATTTTCCCAACATTAATACAGACATTCACCCTTGAGAAATAAAATGAGTTTGCGGAACGAAAATCACGAAGACAGGAAGTAGCATTATATGGCTGACCCTCCCCAGCGCCTCTCTTTTACCAGGACTGAGCCAGCCCGGGTCACCTTAAGGACAGTGGTGAGACTCGTTTTCCTGACCCCCCACGAGACAGTTAGACTCTGTATATACACACACCTCCCGTTCCACTGCCCAGACAGTTCATGCTGCTGCTTTGCAGCAAAATGCTCCTGGCCCTCACTCCCCTCCTGGTACCATCCTGCTGCGGGAGTAGAAGGAGATGCCCATGATGTTCCAAGGCACCTGCATGCTCCCCTTCGGTGTGCCAGCACTGGAAACCCACTGGGCCCAGCTGAGTTTCATCTGAACCGTTCTTCATGGCTGTGAAAGCCACTGCATTTTACATGAATCGCCATAGGTAATGTCCTCTCTGCAGCTAGCACGGAAGAGCCGCTGTAAACTCTTTCCATCACTACGGATCCCTTCTCTACAGCCTGATATTTGCTTACTTGTTCTCAGCTTAGTTTTCTTCACTGGAGTTTTGTCTTCTTTCCTGGTGTGGTGCATCCTTTCCTGTCAGAGCATTCAGAGGGGAGAACCTTCCCCCTCAGCTAGCACACATACACAAGCACTCGGAACTCCCTAGAGCAGCATTCCTCAAGTATTAGATGCTGTGTGGGACAGAGAGGGCCTGGTCACGTGATTTTGAGGAGTGTCAGGATAAAGTCAGGTTAATCCATCTCCTTAGAGCATCACCCAGCCCTTACTATTGCTCATGTAAACTGTTTTCCAATGTGGCATTTCCCAAACTTACCTAACCATGGACCTTTCTTCATGGAATATATGAGCCAAATGCTCATTTTGGAAAATGGGGCCCTAGACCATTCTTGAAAATGAGCAGAAATGTGATGCAAGTCACTCATTGATTGAACAGGCTTCTCCTTAATTAGGCATCTGTGGGGTACATGGCAGTGAGTGCTGTGAAGGATGTGGATGAAGCAGGGACTCAAGTCCATGGTGGAGAGCTTGTGCATGAATCAGAGGGAAGGGAAGATTAATCAGGGAGGAGAGTCATGGCCGAAAATACAAAGCAGCCAGGAGGCAAACAGACAACACCGGGCAGAAACCCTCAGGAAGTCGACCACAGCCAGCAAGCAGCATGCCAGTGGATGACAGTCCCAAGCCCTGAGTTTTCCCTCCTCCGCCCCAAAATGGCAGATAGTCCTGTCCTGCCTAATCTGTGAAGCTGTTTTGAGGAATAAATGATATGATTTGAGCAAAACCCTGTTGTAAGTGTTCTTACAAGGAGCAAAGTCACAGCAATTGGCCTCCCTACCCTATTACAGACACTGCAAGCCATAGAAAGAAACAGAGTCCTGGCCCCCCCGGAAAGAAATGTTTGGCTTTGTTGAAGACCCAAGATGTATACATGTGAAATGAATATGAATATCACAAGACTATTCACTTAAAAAAAAAAAAAAAAGACTATGCAGTTGAGGATAATAGAGGCCAACAGGTATTGTTTGGAGAGTTAGTGGTGTTCTCCAAAATTAGACCTAATTCTGTCATTTTAGGTTGAAAACCAACATTTCTCAAAGGAATGAGGTCCCCCTTTCATGAGGCTATGCCAGTAAGTAATGGGAGATTAGGCAAAGCAGCAGGGGAGAGAATCTGATCTTTTTTTTTTTTTTTAATTATTTTTGAGTGTAGATGACACACAATGTTACATTAGTTTCAGTGTACGACATAGTGATTCAACAAGTTTAAGCAACATGCTATGAGACTCTGGTCTTTAAACTTAGATAGATATGGACTTAGATATGGGTAGTGCCTGGTAGCTCTGCAGCTTTAGACATGTCACTGAACCTCTCTGAGCCTCAACTACAAATTGGAAATGATAATATTTCTTATCTGTATGGATTAAATTAGATGATATCTGTAAAGTGGGGGGCACACTGTAGATGTTCAGCCATGAAAAATGACTGTAAGATGAAAGATGCCCTTGAAAACCAGCCCGAGGCATTTGGATTTCTTCTAAGAGGCAAGAGGAGGTCATTGTAGACCCTTAAGAAAGGGAGTGTGATTTAGTGATGTGTTGAAAATGGTACTTTGTACTGATTTTTTTCAGCTGTGAAGTGCAGAAAAAAATGACCCTAAAGCATATCAGGCAATGGGCCTATACTAAATGTATTAAATTCTCCCCTTCACTGTCAGTGCTCCCATAGGGGGGTTTTAGTGCAGTTGTCTGTGTTCTCTCACCCAAGACGTGAGCTGTGGAAGGCCCACGGTGGTGGGGGTGAGGGTGAGCTAGTGTTAAACATGGCGGCAGGGCCCGTGTGAGCGTCTGCTCTGCACCCCCTCCCCAAATATGTCCCCTTTTTGCAAGAGGGCCCTTCAGCATCCATTCATATTGACTGTGTCCCATTACACTAGGGCAGCAGAGGCACACAAGTCACTGACCTGCCAGTGGTCATGTAGGGTGGGAAGTGGAGTGGGGAGGAGACACTATCAGAAGCCATAAATTGTTTGCCACCAGATTCGCTTTCGGCTACACTCAGCTAATCCCAGGGAAGGTGAGACCTTCCCATTGGCAACAGAGCTGTTCTGTGTCCTGCTGTCCTGCTCTCTCTATTGCACGCATCTCCCATTGCAGTATGGGCTGGATGTGCTCTTAGGGTTCCTGTGTTCCCTTTCTCTGGAGAGGCCAAAATAAAGTGAGGTCAGAATTTATATAGAGCAACTCAGAGGTGCAAAATTATAACCTTTTGTTCTCTTGCATCTTGCCCTGGTCCTTTTGGTACATAAAAACATAGAAAAGTCAAGTCGAAGGTCGGCCTCCCCATCGGGGACCATGAGGGTTTCCTTTCCCATACCTACCTACATCCCAGGGTGAAGCCTCTCCATCCTCGCTGCCCTGGGAGAAGGGCCCCAGATTCTCATGCTGGCCTCCACTGAAATGTCGCTTGTCCTTCCCAGTCACTCAACACCTTGTGCTGGTGTTCCCTGAAGTACAGTTGGCCTCATCTCTTTTGGGGGAAGCAGCAGGCTGTCCATGGTCCCTGCCACAGCTCTAGGGCCTGGTGCCCACACTCTGTGTCCTCTTCATCTTGGCCCCAGGGCCCTCTGGCTCATCAGAGGCTTCACAGGTCCAAAGCTATGTCTAGCCCCAGCCAGGGCCAAGACACTGCCTGTTTCACTCCACTCAGATCCTTGCTGCATGGGCTTATGCCCCAAGTTCTGCTCTTAATCTAGACCTCACTGTTGAAAAACAAATTTTGACACATAAAAGCAAGCTTTAGGAAATTATTTATGTTTAAAAGAATAAAAAGGTTTTCTCCTTCAAGGGAGCATGCTTTGCTCTGGACTTTAACCAATCCAATTTAAATGCAAAGGTAAGCAATGTCTTCTTTATTCTAAGCTGGAAACTAGTCTCCTGAAACAATGGATGCCAGAAATTCAGAGGGTGGGAGGCCACAGGGAAGGAAAAATACATCACTTGAAATAGCCAAAATATTTTCCCCATGTGACATATGGTCACAAAGAGAAAACACTCTGCCTAAAACTTTACACTTAACCAATACACTTCCTTTCTATTAATAATCATAGATGCTGGAAAAATGGACTTGTATTAGAAATCAACAGCATTTACTCTCTGTAAAATCATCAATTCTTAACCTTTTTATGAGCCATAGATCCCTAGAGACGAATGAAAACTGTGGACCTCTCTCTTAGAAAAATGCATCTACACAGCACTCTGATTCAGGGCATTCCCTGACTCCCTGGAACCAATCCATGGGGCAGAGTGTAAAACCTACAGTATCCATGATTTGCTCTAAGTTAAAACTGCATGCAGGAAAAGTTTCCATCGTCATTTCCGTTTCTGAAACATTCCCAGCAAAGTGGGATGGAAGCAGATTGAGGATGGACTAACCAAGTCCAGCTACGAAAGAATATGGGGCACACAGAGCTCCCTTTGAAATAGGAGTTCTCAGCCACTAAACAAGCCATCCCCCCAAAGTTATTGCTTCTACTGTTAAATTACTATTCCCTACTTGCCTTCACCACGTAAATTATATGTTAATTGCTTGGGATTATAGGTTCCACTTAGTCCCCTCTTTTAATTTCCTCTAATTTTTCAGTCTTACAGAAAAATGAGTGCTTTAACACTCAGGGTCTTCATACTATTCCCCAGTTAACTTTCCTGGGATCTCAAGTTTATGTACATATGAATAATTATAAAAAATATATACATTGTATGACACTCAAAAGTGCTGGAAATAGGTTCTAATGAAGCACAGGGTTATCCCCTTATTTTTGCCAAATAGGCTTCATACTACTGCGCTGTCATGTAAGTGCCTTGGGACAGAAAAGGGACACCACCCCTGCCTCCCGTGTGCCAGGCCAGCCATGGCCTACACACACCTACTGTTTCCATTTTCCTTTTGCTTGCAGCCCATTGGTTTCCCGTTCATACACCTAGGGTAGTAAGTGAAGATTAAAAACAGCCAAGCCTCTTTTAAGTGAGTCTAATAAAAGATGTTTGGTTTGTTGCCGGTTTTCTGCTTTTAGGCTGAACCAGCATCCTCTAACAAGTGGCAGCTGGATAAATGGCTAAACAAAGTTAATCCCCACAAGCCGCCTATTCTGATCCAAAATGAAAGCCACGGGCCAGAGAGCAATCAATACTACACTCCAGCGAAAGAGGAAGTGCAGGACTGTGGGAAACTTCCCGACGTTTGCCAAACCAGCCTGAGAGAGAAGGACATCAAGAGCGCCTGCAAGGAGGAGCAGAGGCCAAGGACAGCGAACAAGGCCCCGGGGAGTAAAGGAGTGAAGCAGAAGTCCCCGCCCGCGGCCGTGGCCGTGGCCGTGACTACCGCTGCCCAGCCGCCCGCCGTGCCGGGCGCGCCCGCCGAGAGCGCCCCCGCGCCCGCCCGGAGGTCTGCGGGAAAGAAGCCCACCAGGCGCACGGAGAGGACCTCCGCCGGGGACAGCACCAACTGCCACCGGCCCGAGGAGCCCGCGGCCGCCGACGCACTGGGGGCGAGCGTGGTGATCCCTCCGGAGCCCACCAAAACCAGGCCCTGCGGCAACAGCAGAACGAGCCACCGCAAGGAGCTGCGTTCCTCGGTGACCTGCGAGAAGCGCCGCACGCGCGGGCTGAGCAGGATCGTCCCCAAATCCAAGGAGTTCATAGAGACCGAGTCGTCATCTTCCTCCTCCTCCTCGGACTCGGACCTGGAGTCTGAGCAGGAGGAGTACCCTCTGTGCAAAGCCCAGGCTGTGGCCGCCGCCGCCGCGGCCTCCTCGGGGAGTGACCAGAGGCTGAAAGAGGCGGCCAGCAGCATCAGCAGTGGGGGCGGCCCCAGGGCCCCTGTAGGCTCCATCAACGCCAGGACCACTAGTGACATTGCCAAGGAGCTGGAGGAACAGTTCTACACGCTGGTCCCTTTCGGCCGCAACGAACTTCTCTCCCCCTTGAAGGACAGTGATGAGGTCAGGTCTCTCTGGGTCAAAATTGACCTGACCCTCCTGTCCAGGATCCCAGAACACCTGCCCCAGGAGCCCGGGGTCTTGAATGCCCCTGCAGCCAAGGACACTGAGAGCACACAGCCAAGCCATCCATCCGACACTCCTGCCGAAAAGGCTTTGCCAAAATCCAAGAGGAAACGCAAGGTAGGCCTGGGGCTGAGGGCCTGGCGAGGGAGGAAGGGCTTGCCCTTAAATTGTGGGGCAGTGTTGAAGCCCACAGGGGCCGCTGGTCTGCAGGGGACAGGCAGCAAGAGTTTTATATGTGTCCTTACTCAACAAACATTCCTAGAGTACTTCCTGCATGCCACATACTTAAGTACTTGACACAGATTAACTCCGTTGAATCTTTAGAACTGCTCGATGGGGGAAGCACCGTTCATAGTCCATTTTATCATTATAGATAATTCAGGCCTGTCCCACTGCATGTTGAAGCAGGCATATGGGAAATCCTTATCGAGTGTGTGCAGAGGCAAGCTGCATGCTGGGCCAGTAGAAAGCTAAACACGTGGTGCCCCTCACTCTTTGCTGGAAGGGACAGGGTGACATTGATCAATCATGGACCCAAGAAGCCAACAGCCTCATCGAGTGTAAGGCTGTCACTGGGGTGAAGTAGGAAACAGAAGTGCCAGCTGCTAGACCTTGGGTGGACAGGCCCAGGGAGGAGAGCACCAGCCTGCTGCCTTGACCAAGGAGAACTCTGTGGTGGAAGAGGGGCTGGGAGCAGGGCCCTGAGGAGGACGAGCATGGAGCAGTCAGAGCCAGGGATGATGTGGCACCAAAAAAAGGGCAACAAGGTGCACCAGGAAGGCATGGAATAAGAAAAGTGGTTTGAGTGTCGGGAGAGCTGGCTCCCCATCTGGAAGCAGCCCCCGCTGTTCAGCCGTGTTTGCAGACCTTTGAGGGCAGGAATAACTTACTCATAAATTAAAGCCAATTTTGAGGGGTTTGAGCCCCTCCCATTACTGTTACCTTCAAAAGCAACTTGGGCCACAGCAAGAAACACCAGGGGGTGACAAACCAAAGATCGTACTATCATGGATGGTTCCAAATTGAGGACAAAATCATTCACAACAGTTAACGTATCTATGACGTCCCCATGAGGGATGCTACTCTAGGCACTTTGGACCTATTAAATCATTCAGTCCTTACAACTTTATGTGGCAAATGTTTTTGTCACGCCCGTTTTATAGGTGAGGAAACTGAAGCTCAGAGAGCCTAAAGCATCTTGCCCCAGGTTCCCACAGTGCACAACGGGCAGAGCCAGGAAGGAACCTGGGTTGTCTGGCTCCGGGCTCTCCCAATAAAACGTTGGTCTGAGGACTGTGAGGTACTTTCCCCACAGGGCCCCTGCCCAGAAGGGCTCTATGCTTGGAATTCAGTGCTTGAGGGTGCCATCTTGAAATTCATTTTATCTCTGAATTTGTGTTTTTAAGTGAAGCGTGATGGGATGAGAAAACATGGGGTGGGGGGGCGTGGAGCTCTGACTCGCATGTGGTTCCCCCCTCCTGCCTGTTTCCGCAGCACGGCTTCTGCCAGCCCTTTGGCCCCTTGACACTCCAAAGTTAGCCAAACAGCTTACAGGAAAAGTTTCCATCATCACTCCCATACTGAAACAATTCTGGCAACATGGTGTAGAAACAGGCGCTGTGCAGCCTCCCAGTCCCCATCTCCTTCCAGGGACCTGTGCTGTTCCCCTAAGCTCTCCAGGGGCCAAGGCACAGGCAGGTCAAGATAAGCATCTCACCCAGCGCTCATCCAGGACCTGAGAGGTCTCAGACGGGGGACTGCAATCTCCTAGGGGTTACAGGCTCGCCTTGGGTTGGGGGGTGAGCCGTGGAAAGGGGAAATGCCTGACTGGACTTCCCTATCCCTATACACCTGGCAGGCAGGGGGAAACTACTGTTGGGCCTATGCATGCGTACAGTCACAGGGCCACCCCAGGCCCTTCAGTCTGCCTGCACCCTCCACATATCCCCATGCCTCAAGGAACACTGTATGAAATGGTAATTAAACACCATCGTGACAGGTCAAGAGAGAGACTTTGACAGACAGGAAAATGTTTTCTACTTTAGTACTTTATAACATTACTCTTTTCCTGCTTTTTTTCTTCAGTTTATTTTTTGAGTTATAATTGACGTAACATTATATTAGTTTCAGTTTTTGTATATATTACAAAATGATATTCATTTGTTGGCCATTTGCATGGCGTCTAAACGTCTGTTCAGATTCTCTGCCCGTTGTTTAATTGGGTTGTGCTTTTGCTATTAAGTTGTAGGAGTTCTTTATATATTTTGGATATTAACCCCTTATCAGATATATATTTGCAAATATCGTCTCCCATTCAGTAGGTTGCCTTTTCATTTTGCTGATGGTTTTCTTTGCTGTGCAGAAGCTTTTCAGTTTGATACAGTCCTACTTGTCTATTTTTGCTTTTGTTGTCTTGGGTTTTGGTGTCAAATTCAAAAAAGTATCGCCAAGACCAATGTCAAGGATCTTTTCCTGCTTTTTGACCAAGGGGCCCAGTGTTTTCATTTTGCACTGAACCCTGCAAATTATGTAGTCGGCCCCGGCCTCCTGGGTAGCCTTAATCAGATGACCTTACCTTCTCTGTACTTCAGTTTCTTCATTTGTGAAATGGTGACATCTTTGCAGAGGTGTTGTCAGGTTCAGACCATATAATTCAGTAATATGGGCTAGCTCACTACTTCTCTACCCCTCTTCCCTCGAGATACCCTGCCATCCTCATTACTTGTGGGATTAATGGGTAAATGGATAGACTGATGGAAAGAAAGCAGAGAAAAACATTGTTATATAAGAAATATGCATAGCTAGAAATTGATAAACATAGATTGGAAATACATATAGCTATATAAGCATACATAAATAGATGTGCAGAAAGACGTACATATAAATTCCATAATATTCTGTATTTAAGCAATTTTATTATGGCCTTTTTTAAAATTTTTAACTTATGAAGCTTCATTTACACTAAGCCTGACACCTAGCCCTCCTCTAAAATCTAATGAATCACCATTAAGTACAGACACAGAGAAGTGAAAGAACATTTTCACAGCAATCTTCACTTGGGCATCTGGGGTGTTAACACCCCGGTACCATAGACCTGGCTGCCAAAGGCTCAGAGTCTAGCCCTGCTATAACCCCAGAGAAGAAGACTATGGATTCAGAGCTTCGGTTTGGGGTCACTTGAGGTCCCTATTCAGTGTGAGCATCTGGGATTCTGTGACAGAGGCTGTGTGACAATCCCAGCTAGAGAGAGAAGGTCAAAATCTTTCTATCTTTGAAGCCAGCACTTGTCTCCTAGAAAACACTGCTGAACATCCTGAATATACTGTTACTGTGTTCCTGCTTTCTCACCAATGATGGAACTTTGTTGAGTGCATTTGTATTTTACCCTAATACACGTATAATATTTAAATACAATCATGGAAAGAAGAATTTCATTGAAATACTATTTTTTAATTTAAATTCAATTAGCCAACTTAGAGTAGCACATCATTAATTTCAGATGTAGAGTTCAATAATTCATCAGTTGCATATAACACCCAGTGCTCATCACATCATGTGCCCTCCTTAATACCCATCACCCGGTTAGCCCACCCCCCACCCCCTCCCTTCTGTAACCCTCAGTTTGTTTCCTGGAGTCCAGAGTCTCTCATGGTTTGTCTCCCTCTCTGATTTCTTCCCATTCAGTTTTCCCTCCCTTCCCCTACGGTCCTCTGCCCTGTTTCTTATATTCCACGTATGAGTGAAACCATATGATAATTGTCTTTCTCTGATTGTCTTATTTCGCTCAGCATAATACTATTTTATAAAAAGATACATTAAGCATTCTAAGATGTCATGGGATAGTAATTGTTAACTAAAATTAAGACACCAAGCAAGAGGTAACAACCTTTGCTTGAACTTCACAAAAGCCATAAATTTCAAAAGGTCTAGGTTTATCATTGCCCTTATGGCATTAAGCCCCAGGATATGGTAGTTATACTTTATTCAGATACCAAGGAATGAATGCCAAAGTGAGAGACACTGAGGGTACAGTGTGAATTCAGTAGAGGTCATCTTTGGAGAGCAAAATCAGATGTGTTGATGGTAGACCAATTTTCATCATTCACAATGTTCCCTCTCTAATGTTGATCATGGTGTCATGCTTTTCCTCTCAATAAAGTGTCAATAGTAAAACTGATAGATTCCATCCTTGTCGGTTGAGGAGCTGACCAAGAACCTAGAACAGGGAGAAGAACACCGCAACCACATTCCTACTTGGGATGCTCTCCGGAGAAGCCGAGTGAGCTGGTCTTGCGGGAGGCCTTGCTCTGTGGAAGGTTGTGATGGGGGCTCATTTTGTTCCCTTGAAATCCAAAGCTGATTGGTTTTTGCTTATTTCCATGCAGTGTGACAACGAAGACGACTACAGGGAGGTCAAGAAGGCCCAGGGAGAGAAAGAGAGCTCTTCACGACTGACCACCTCTGCCAATAATACTTTATCTGCGAACCACTGCAGCATGAACATCAACAGGTATGCGTGTTCCACTGAAGGTAGAGGTGAGCCCGAAGGATCTCTGGGTCCGAAAGGCAGGTACCAGATTGGAGGAGAGTCAGATCTCTTAATGACTGCTCTGGTCTGGGTCTTTAGACTTGCTTCCCTTGATTTAACCGGAGGCTAATAATTAGGCCTGGATGTGTGCTCCTGTCACAACCCCAAGGGCACTGTCAGCACTCCTTTGTAACAAAGGACCGGTTACTAGTTATACTCAGTTCTGTGTTCTCAAAGACACACTTTCCCTCTGAAAACTCAGTAACTGAATTTTCAAACCCTTATTTTAACAGCCACCAAACCCATAAGAACACTAAGCTTATTACATGGATGAAAAAATATAAAGTTTGAGTGGTATCTCTTGGAGAGAGACTAAAATCATGGCAGTAGACAGGATCTGTCTCCAAGGTTAAACAGCACCCAGTCACTCCTCTAAAGGGGTTCCAGATGGAGCCACATTGCACCAGATCCCCTCTGTGACAAATGGCTTTCTAGCAAGGCAAGGTCCCCGATATTTATTAGAAGTGGGTAGAGTTCAATAATTCATCAGTTGCATATAACACCCAGTGCTCATCATATCACGTGCCCTCCTTAATACCCATCACCCGGTTACCCCACCCCCGAGACTGAGCTTATCAGTTATAGAAGCTCTTTGCATTTAGAAATACCACAGCTCAGAAACCACTTTTCCTCTGCTAAGACACTCCTCACTCTCCCTGACTGTGTACATAGAATTTTTAAGGGGAGATTAATGTTTCAGCACAACACATAAAAATGTAAACGGAAAGGTTAGGAGAAGATGTAGAGCAGTACTAAACCTCCGAGAGGAAATTGGAGAGTGAGGGCACATGAGCACAGGCCCACTGCAGTGTGAGAGTCACCTTGGGAAGGAAGGCGAGGGCTCTTGAAGGTCTGAGTGAGAGGGAGAGTGTGCGTGCAAGCTGGCCTAGCCCGCAGGGCTCTGTGCTTAATGGGTGGTATCCCAGAATACTGGGGAAATGTGAATAGGAGCAATGTGGCTCCAAAACATCATTTAAATTAGTGATATAGGGCGCCTGGGTGGCTCAGTCATTAAGTGTCAGCCTTCAGCTCAGGTCATGATCCCAGGGTCCTGGGATCGAACCCCGCATTGGGCTCCCTGCATGGCAGGAAGCCTGCTTCTCCCTCTCCCACTACCCCCTGCTGTGTTTCCTCTCTCGCTGTGTCTCTGTCAAATAAATAAAATCTTTAAAAAAATAAATAAATAACTAAATGTGTGATATAGTTGTAAACATGCTTTGTTAATACACTAAAAACCTTTCTAGCAGATCCTAGTAACTGCCATAATATCGAAGTAGCGACGAATACGAATATAAACAATATTTCAAAATGACTGCAACCACTGTGACATGACATGAGAATATCTGTGATTTCCTGCTGATGATGCAATCACAGGCATTGTTAACACCACTCCTGATAAACCACTACTCTGGAAATGTTCCATTTCAGTAAGAAATTGTCACTTTTTCCCATCCAAGTTCACGGACCCCAGGATAAAAGCTCTTGCCTCCAGCTCCGACAGCTTTATTTATGTTACATAATGACCCTTGCATATAAAAGTGCTTTGAGTTCTTTCTAGGAAAGGTGGTCTAAGAAATACCTCAGGAATGTGTATAAAGGGATCACCTATCCCAAAGATGAGATCCAAAGAAAGTTTTTTTGGTCAAGTTGAGTATGTAAACTTATAATGATGAAGGAGAAATAATCCTATGTCCATGACAATATTTAATGTAATAATTTGGTTTTCTATGAACATTTCAAATCACATAATATGATTTAGAAATACAACTTTCTGGGGGTGCCTGGGTGGCTCAGTCATTAAATGTCTGCCTTCAGCTCAGGTCATGATCCCAGGGTCCTGGGATCGAGCCCCACATCAGACTCCCTGCTCAGCGGGAAGCCTGTGTCTCCCTCTCCTGCTCCCCCTGCTTGTGTTCCCTCTCTCGCTGTGTCTCTCTCTATCAAATAAATAAATAAAATTTTAAAAAAATATATTGGAAATAAGACTTTCTTCACTCACATGTCAAGACACAATTATGTACAGACTACTCACATCTACAACATCAGTGTCTTCATCATCCCTGAGCCTTTGATTTGCCTAAGAGAGTTTTCCAGAACACATCTTCTCACTTCTGGGTTGTTAGACGCACAGTACTTTTTGAACCAGAAATCTATCACCAGAAGCTCTCTCCCTACACAGATCTATTTGCATAATACTAGGAACCTTGTTACTTTAACATTAAGAACCGTGGCTTTATTATCTGTTCTAGAGGCCTGTGTTTGTAATTTCTACACTGTGACCACCAACTAAGGAAATTGCTTTTTGAAGTGACTTTAATGGCTTGTTTGTAGTGATAGCCAGCACATGCAATAAGATGTAATAATTGCAGGAATAGTGACTAAGTCTTTGTTAAGTGGATTTACTCTTTTTTAACTAACTCTGTCAAGTGACTTCTGTGAGCATCCCAAATTAGCAATGTTGGAGATTATTTCAGGTTAATGTATCTTCCCTCAATTTTTTTCCAGGGTAAAGTAATGGAGAGAGGCCTATCAATATAACATACATTGTAAAGATTCAAATATAAGTGACTCCCTTCTCTGATGGTTAATTGTGCGGGGGAGGAATTTATATTCACGCATAGACAATAGTTTTATTCATTTGTGGGTTTTTTTGTTTTAATTGAAGTGTAGTTGACATACAATATTTTGTTAGTTTCAGGTATACAACATAGTGATGCAACATTTGTGTACATAGTGACTACAATGCTCATCATGATAAGTGTGGTCACCATCTGTCACCATACAAAATTATTATATTATTGACTCTTTATCCCCACAACTTATTTATTTTATAACTGGAAGTTTGTACCCCTTAATCCTCTTCCCCAACCCCCTCCTGTCCAGCAACCACCAGTTTGTTCTCTGTATTTATGAGTCTGTTTCAGTTTCTTTTTGTTTGTTCATTTCTGTTTTTTAGATTGTATATGTAAGTGAAATTATACAGCATTTGTCCTCCTCTGGCATAAACAATTAATTATGGAGGTGAAATAAGGAACTAGAAATCAGAAAATGTACTTTTTTTTAGAAGGGGTGAGGGGCAGAAGGAGAGGGAGAAAGAGAATCTTAAGCAGCCTCCATACCCAGTGCAGAGCCCAGTGCGCAGCTCTATCTCACAACCCATGAGATCATGACCTGAGCTGAAATTAAGAGTTGGAGGCTTAACCGACTGAGCCACCCAGGCACCCCCAGAAAATGTAACTTGTAATGACAGTTTTCTATTCTGTGTGTATTCTGATCAATATCTGGTTAGCCCAGAAACCCAACAACTGAAAGTTGGCCTCACACTTCGCAGATTATTCTGTGATTCTGTTATTCTTCATATAATAATTACTACAAACTCAGGTGTTATCAAAAGTCCTTTTAGAGGTGGAGAATTCATATATCATGTGATTGACTTTCCCATTACTTGCTGCTTAGGCTTGTTGGGAAAATAGTAAGTTGTTGTGTGTTTTGAGATCCTTGATTGAAAAACTCAGAAAAATGAAAGTCTTATTAGTCTTAGTCATTTAACAACAGAATTATTATTCATCCTGATAAGACAAGTAAGGAAACAATGAGTAAAATGTACTTATTGTCTTTTATGGTCCTAAGGCCATAAAATTGTTTCCTGGTATAATAATTCCCAATAAACGCCTTCCTACCTATAGATTTTAAATGGGAGGTTTGGGTCGTATATAAAACATTTACCTCTCCCTGTGCTGACTGCGCGACATTCCATTACTGTGATTTCCTTTTTCAGCTTGGCAATACCAATAAATAAAAATGAAAAAATGCTCCGGTCACCCATCTCACCCCTATCGGATGCATCTAAACACAAATACTCCAGCGAGGACTTAACTTCTTCCAGCAGATCGAATGGCAGTGGCTCGTTCACTTCTGCATCCTCCAACAAAAAGCATAAGGCTGAGAACCAGCTGCAGTCTCATGCCGGAGACCTCACGGTATGTTGATTCTCTAACTTTCCCAATAAAAATAAAAATGAAATTGAGCACACCCCTATACTCATCTGTCTCTAGCCCAGCACAGTCTAAACGTGTGCTTGAGGTCCCACAAGAATCCCTAAATGCTGCTCTGAGAAGACCTGGTGAACCAGCATGCCCCGTTACCTCTTCCCACAGAGAGCGACAGAAGAAACCAGAGGAGGCATTGTAAGCCTCTTTGTAGGATTGCATTTCCCACTCTGAAGAGAAATGGCCCCAAAGGAGTACTATCTGGAACACTGTAAATTGGGAGTTTGGGACCAACCAGCCAGCTTTTTCATTTGGAAAGATTCCTTGCCCCAGGGCAGAGTTAAATCTGGGACTGAAACCCTAGGCCAAAACTATGGGATTCCCACTCCAATCTCAGTGACCAGTGTAGTGGCCAAAGTGTGGGACCCGGCCACCACCCCCTTTTCCAGCAACCTTCCCAGGGGGTGATTCCAGCTGCCTGCGGTACCCTAGGGAAGGGCTGGGGACTGGGGTCCACAGTCTGTCTAACCTCATATCTTAGTCAAAATGTGACTTTGGCCAGTTGCTTCATCTCTCTGAGCCAGTTTCATTTGCAAAATGGTGGTGAGAAGATTTAAATTGATCCAGTATTATCTGAAGAACCGACACCTATGGATACCTATGCAACTAACAGTACATGTTAGTTCCTCTTTATGGCCATTCCTTCTAACAGCTGGTGGCCGTGGATCATGCATCCTCTGGGGCACATTATTTAATTCCAAACCCTCCTCCCAAGTTCTCTCAGGTCACCACCATGCTAGCAATACCAGCGGGGCTTTGTGAGGCAGAGAGAGAGATGAGACATGAGAATAGGGCTCTGCAAAGAGGGGGAAGCAGTATTTAATGTTCCATCCCATGAATTAAGGAGGTAAAATAGTGGGTAGAAGATCCTGCAAGAGCCGAAATCTTGTAACATCCGGAAATTAATAACCGACTGATGCACCCTTATTTGGGAACAATTATCTTTAATTCTAGGTTCAAAGAACCTGAGAAGACCCTACTAGAAAAACCTGGAATAAAAAATTACCAATTCAAATTAAAACACAAACAAAACGTTTTTCACCTCTAGACCCTAATATAAAAGCAACCATGCTGTCTAGAGAATTGTAAAACAATTACAGACTTTATTCAGTCATTCTTTCTTTCACCAAACAGATGTTTATTGAGCAAGTATTTACTGTGTGCCAGGCACTGTGCCAAGCAATGGAGATCCAATGATGACCTGACAGATTCAGTCTGTGCCTGCGTGAAGCTCACAGTCTAGCTGGAGAGAATGACATAGACAGGAAATCACACACATCGGTAATGACTACCGTGAATGCCAAAAAGGAAATGCCGAGGCCCAGGGGCACTTACAACCAAGAGGCTTGACCTGCTCATAAAATCAGTGCATATTTAAAGAAGCATTTGTACACACTCATCACATTTTAATTACTTCAGAAGAATCCATTTGAATTTCATAACCAAAGACAGTTGCTTTATGATTCATGGGTCTAGCACACAATAGGTGCTCTATAAATATTTGAATCCCCAGGGAATGTGATTTTTTAATTTTTCCACAGATCAATAGTGTTCCTTTTAAAAACACATTTTAAATAATTTCTAGTTATTCCCTTTGGCTTTTCCTATTCTTCACAGACAGCTAATGGGGATCAGTCCATTTGTGACCTGAACAACTTCTCTTTTGCGTGGGATTATAAATCAGCAGTTCTGAAAGCTTGGTTCCTGCATCAGCATCACCAGGAACTTGCTAGAAATGCAATGTTCTCAGGCCCCACTCCACACCTACTAAATTCAGCTCTGGACGGGTGGGGGTCCCCCTGTCTGTGTGTTGACAGCCCCCTCCCACCCTGTGGTGATTCTGATGCAAAGTTCACCTTGGAGAACCACTGGTCTAGCCAACTGGGAAAAGTAGGGGCTTGAGTCCTAAGCCCTGGGCGTCACCGATCCACAGTAGCTATTTGAATGTGGGCAAGTTTCTTAACTTCAGCCAGCCTCAATTTCTGGATCTGTGAGAGTAGGCCACTAAGAACTTCCCTTTTGACACTGTTGTAAGAATGACATTTGACAACACGTGTGAAAGCCCTCGGCATGAGAACTGGAATGCATGTATTTCTTTTTCTTCATTTAAACACAAGGGATCGGGATGCCTGGGTGACTCAGTTAAGCGTCTGCCTTCGACTCGGGTCATGATCCCAGGGTCCTGGGATAGAGTCCCACATCGGGCTTCTTGCTCGGTGGGGAGCCTGCTTCTCCCTCTCCCACTCCCCCTGCTTGTGCGCTCTCTGACAAATAAATAAAATCTTAAAAAATAAATAAATACAAGGGATCGTCAGTTCTAGCCTAGAACACGGGGCAGTGGGTTGCTCTTTCAGCCAGGTGGCCTGTTTCTGAAAGACTGGTGTGTTGTTTTTTTGTTTAGAAAGCCGCTCACAACAATTCCGAAAACATTCTCCACAAGTCACGGCCGCAGACAGAGCCATGGTCTCCCGGTGCCAACGGCCACAGGGACTGCAAGAGGCAGAAACTTATCTTCGATGATATGTGAGTGGGGACTCTTTGTTGATGTGGTGAGGGGCAAGGTAAAACAGAAACTCTGAGGGCAGGAGGGTTATATGTGTGACTGGGTCAGGTAAGTGTTGCCTTCTCAGAGGGAACTGGAGCTTGACTTTGAATGGCACCCCTGGGTCCTCATGGGCTTTTTGAAAGGCTACAACAGCCAGAGATACTGGGGTTGCATCCAAGATGTCAGGAAGCTAAGGCAAATGGCATTCATGAGCCTTACATTTCTGAGCACACCTGCATTTGGGCTCTTGGCAGTTGTATGCCACCAGAAAGAGAAGCATTTTTGTTTTCGTATATTATAATAGACAAAGAATAATAGCAATTCACTCCTGGTTTGTTTCCTTCTAAAATGCTATATTCTGTATAATAGCATAAACAGGTCTTATACAGGAAAAAAATATCCTGTCATCCTTCCCCCCAGCCCTAGCGCCTGAAACCCAAGTATTACTTCCATTCCCAGCGCCAATTTAAAAGGAGAAGAAAATGAATAAAAGTAACATCTTGGAATGCTCTTGAGATGCTGAAAATGACAAAGGAGAAGTGATAAAATGGTTCGGGAAATTATTTAGGCTCTTAGGGAAAAAAAATATGTGTCAAGCACAAGCCTGGAAGACAGAAGATATGGGTTCAAGAGTTTGGCTTGAATCCTGTTTTCAGCGTTAACTATTTAACACGCATCCAGTTCATGTCTGTGTGAGAGGCCCCATTAAATCCTGGGGTGGAACAGTGTGCAGCACTGAGACATCCTGTCTGCTAATTGCTTACAGTCTGGCTGAGGGGACAGACTATAAACCACTTTGGAAAAAGGGAAGGGTGCCGAATGTCTTCGAGTCCCAGCTTCCTTATCGGGAAAAATGATAATCATGACACCTCTCTCCCGGAGGTTCTCCTAAGACCCAGTTAGATGAGATCTCCTGAGGGTGACCATCTGTGCAGAGGTGATGACTCTTCCATCCTCATCTTCCACCCAACGTCTTCTCTGGCCCCGACTTCAGACCCAGAGCCTAGACACACTCTTATTTATTCACCCTGTAGACTTCTTGAGAATGAGAATACAAAGCTGTAGTCCTCAATTTATAGTTAGACTTCAGTGAGCTAATTAAGGGCACAGAATTAGGGAGTTGAAAGCCAAATCCACGTTTTTGGTTTGTTCCACTTACTGAACACATTCCAAGATAATTGGATTTATGAAAGTTTAAGGGTGGCCCAGGAGGGCGACTGTTTTTCTCTTCTTCCCATGGTGGCTACAGCTGCATTCAGTCCCAGCACACTCTCTTCCTGGCCCTCACCACCTCCCCTTCCCTCGGCTTCTCTACTGCCCTGAGCATCGAGCGAGGGAAGTGGTCATTAATCCCCAGGGTGGGTGCATGTAATGGGAGGACAGTCCCTCGGTCAAGTACACATATAAATAGGGTTTGGTGGTATAAACTGTCTACATGAGCTCTAACCATTTGTAAAAATGGGAGATTATAATTGTGTCTGATGACAACGTGGCAGTTTGCATTCAGAAGTCATAATCTAATAACGTGATCAAACACAACGTGCATTAGACCCTAAGGTGCTTAAAACATCCAACATTTCCAGCAGGTGATGTTAAGGGCATGATATTTAAACACACACACAATGGTATCACATGTATTAATACAATGATATTAAACACACATATGGAAAATTTACATACAAGGAGCTTTCTAGTATATGGACCAAAAAGCTAAGTCAGAAACAGCAACAACTATAAATGACTGTACTTCGATCTGCGGTTTCTTGGACTACTTACAAGAGGAAATGTTTCTCAATCTGCCGGGGCTATTGCTAATATAATTTTTTCACTATCTCTGTCAACGAAGAAGCTGTTATCATTCGTTCTTCCCATTAGCAATATGTATAATTTTTCTGGCTGACAGCTACAATAAAAGTGTTTCTCTTTTTATGGATATAGATATAATAGAATAAAAAAGCATTCTTACATACCCATCATATGGAGAGATGTCATGTTCCAATTGCTATGTGTCCCAGTTGATTTGTAATCCATAACAAGTAAAATACACATGCAACTTGAACAGCCACTCAACCACTGAACTAAGAAAGTCTTGGGAAGATCCTTGAAGCTTGAAAAGCAAAACTAGGCTTTGTCTCTTCCTTAAAACAATAAAAATACGTGTCCCTTAAGAGATGGCTGGACTAGGAAGTCATCTAAACTGGTACAGAATGTCTCCCAGGTCCAGTTGGTATGTGCTAAGTACTTACTAAGGGCCAGGTACATTGGCTGGAGTTAAGATATGCAATTAATGAACCCTCAGTCATTAATTCAGGGCACAGGGAGGCACATGGGTGGCTTCCCCAGGAAAGTGCCTTGGGACTACCGAACTTCCACCTTCGCCTGCTCCGCTCTGTTCTGCACCAGCTTCCCCCCCAGCAGCCGCATTGACAGACGAGGACCTGGCTCCAGTCACTTTCCTTGACTTCTCCTCACTGAAGGTGTCAACAAGCAGTGAGACAACCAGAAAGGCCACCAGTGGGAAAGAAAGAACGAGCTAGAGAAATCACCCCGGAGTAATTTAGAATTGATAGAAATCCAGTTACAGTGATCCAAAAACAAACAGATGCCACACTGTCATTTGATTTTTAAAGCCGCATCATGTAGCTTCTAGGAAAAAAAGGAAACTCATCCTTTTGTATTATAAATACTGGTTAATGGTTGAATAAACATGCGATTCAGACAACAGCTGAATTCAGTGGGCACTTAATATCAAGCTCTGAATGAACACAGCTGAATTAGAGTAACATTCCCAGGAGAGTAATGCCTACAGTTTCCCCCCGCCCCCCGTGAGTATAAGGAATCTACATGCAGGTAAATTTAAATTCACGGGCTTCTCAGCCCCTTTTCCTGTTCTACTTACCAAGTAAACAGGCACCAGTTTGTGTCTTTGGGACGCAGATGGAACCAAACGCAATAACACTTATTTTTAAGAATGTGATCCAGGTCAGCTTGTTCTGCCTAATTTGCAGTCTCAGATTGGTGGCAGTGTGATTGCACCTCCTCCTCGACATTTAGCCATGCTCAACAGCCACGGTTTTAAGGTGACACTGATGTGATTGCCAAACTTTTGTTAAAAAAAAAAAAAACGTAAGAATTTATGTCAATGAGTGACAGCATTTGATTCAACCCAAAGCCTAGAAACTGATCTTATTAGTGCGAAGCCATGAGCTGCAAATTACTTTGTGTGATAATTAGTGACAGGGGAGTTCTTGGCCCAGGAACATTGAGAGAGAACAACTGTGTCATGAAGGCCTTGGTACAGAAGTCCTGAGCAGAGCTAAGTGGTGAAATTCTTGGCTGGGAAATCAAGTCTCCTTTCCCAGCAGCCATATTGCTGTGTTGGGAAGCCAGCGAATCCCGAGTGCCAGCACTGCAGACAGGATGTACTGTCTCCTGCCCATATTTCACAAGGAAGAGTCAGTCACGATCATCACATTCATCACAACCACCAAACAGTCCATCTGTCCCCGTGGCACCAGTAACAGGAGCCCAGCTACTTACACCTCCCGACATTGAGAAAAGACTCCCTCAACCACGTGCCGCTGAAGGCCATGGAGTGTGAAATGTGGCTAGCAGGGAAGGAAGAAGGTTTGGCATTTGTGATGTAATTATGCTCAGCAATCTATAGCTAAAAGGATTTAATTTTATAGAGGATGGGAAGAGTCCGGTACATAAAAGGTCAGATCTCCTGTGGCATGATTTCATCAATTGAAATCCTTGAGGAGGTGATAGTACACTGAGGCAGGGCACTCCCATGGAGGGCTTGCTATAGCCATTGTTCTTCTCCTGATGGTTCCCCCTTCCCCACCTTACCCGGTGGACCATTAGTACACCTTTTTTTTAAGATTTTATTTATCCATTTGAGAGAGGGAGAGAGAGCACAGAGGGAGATGGAGAGGGAGAAGCAGACTACCCCCTGAGCAGAGAGCCCGATGCAGGACTCGATCCCAGGACCCTGAGAACATGACCTGAGCCGAAGGCAGACACTCAGCCAACTGAGCCACCCAGGCGCCCCCCATTAGTACACCTTTATGTTCTTCATATGGAATTTTCTCCTTTTGAGATCCCAGCCTCTCAGCCAAGTTATTTTGTTCTAACTGAAACAGAGACAGAGAAAGAAAAAGGCTAGACTTGGGGAGGTGGGGAGTAGTGAAGGACAACACCTTCAGACCTCCCTGATTGAAATCTTAGTTCTCTGATCATTTTAAGAGTTTTGTAAAATTATTTTATGTTAAATGTCACATGCAGAGAAGAACAACAATCAAAGTGATGAGTTTCCATTTCAATAGAAAATTGCTTTTGACTGAATGACAAAAACCTGCTACACTTAGCCTGTGCATCCTGGAAAACACAATTTTCTGTGCATGACCAGGAAAGAAGCAGTCAAGGGGAAGAGCCCATGGCCTGTTATGGGACACGATGAGTGATCACTTGTGCTTCTGAGAAGCCAGGCTCTAGAGACCTTGGGGCCCCAGCCAGCATCAAGCTAATGGAAACAAAAACTGCATTTGAATCCTTGCTGCTTAAATGCAGTGTACTTGCTTCCCTTAAGAAGCACTCATAAAGCCAACACCAGCCCACCAGAGTCCCTGCCTCTGAAGTGCCCTCCTCAGTTGTGTTCACTTTAGTGGATTAAAAAGAATTGCAGGATCCCCCTCTATCTGAAGGTAGAGCGTTCCTATGAAACCATCTGTAAGCCAAAATTGTGTAAAGTGAAGAGTATCCCAGCTCTCCGAGAGCTCGCCTTGCACTACTTCACCTTGAAGAAAGACCTACATTAGTACAGTAAGGCTTTTTTCAGAAGCGTGAAAATCCTCTTCAGATTAGCAAAAACCATTCTGGGTCTTTCGTAAAAGCCAAGTGGCATACCGCAAACTTTCAGAAAGCAGGGCGGGAGTGCCTGTACCTAACTTCTTACACGTCCTTCTTTGTGAAGAAA